CTTCAGGAGACCCATCTCAGTTACAAAGAGTAAACATAGTCTCAAACTTAGGGGGTGAGGACCATAAGACGTCTGGCTGTTCTGTGCTGGTCCTCCAGTCCTGGGACCATAGTCTATTCACCTACCTCTTTCCACCTTTCAGAATTCTCCTATGGTTGCCTCTTGTGTTATTTCCAGGGTTTGTAATTCTACACAGAGGGAGGAGCAGGGAGAGATTAGTCTATACCATGTTATTGAAACTCCCTTCTTTAGTGCTTACCCCCTAGTTCCTTCTTTTATTCACTCAACAAACACTTATGTGGCTCCATTTATTGGGTCCAGACCCTGAAGAATGGAAGAGAACAGCACATGAAGGTAAGTGTTGTTTGGGTGGGGAATATGGCATAGTCCCCATAGTCCCTCAAGTCACAAGTCTGGAGGTCAGGAGAAACCCTCCCTCATCCTCTTGTTAGTCCTGTGACATCTGTCTCCCTGCACCTATCTCTCCGCTTCTCATTCACTTTTCCAGATCTTCTGATCTCTCACCTGAGTGACTTCAGTGACCATCTGTCTGGCTGCTTTCCTTCTGAATGTTCCCACTGACCCCTCCTCCATCCGGTTGCCTGGGGGGGTTCTCTAAGATGCATGTCTGCTCATCACTCTTACCTGCTGGAAGCCAGTCAACAGCTCTCCAGTGCCTACAGGACATGGTCCACATTCTGTAGGTCAGTGCACTCATCCATGTCCTGCCACTGTCCCTTCCCCAGACCTCACACCTATCCCCTCTTGCACATCACAGTCCAAATGCTCATAGGTCCTTGAGCATAATACGGCATGTCCACTCCTCATGCTGTGGTATGTACTGGGCCTCTGCTTATCATACTTTTCCCTTTTTGTCTTTGTTCACATTAAAACTTTCTATTCATCTGACACAACAGAGTGCAAATGTCACCTCCAGGAAGCCATGACTTCTGATGACAATCACTGTCTCCTCAGTGCTAACTTGACTATGCTTCCTATCTGCACATTTCACACTGAAGTGCATTTGTTTGTAGTTGTCTCCCTTTGTAGTCAGCAAGCTCTTCATTAGAAAGGACTCTTGTCTTATTTCCTTTATCTTATTTAGTGTTAGGAATATCCATGTATATAGTAGCTGTTAAATGCATGTTGACTGAACATAGACCGTGGAAGGGCTTACAACTGTTATAAGTCTATGTAAGAGAGAAATGGCCATGGAGGTGCAGTGTTATGTCTATGGACTTGATGAACCTGCCTCAGAGAAGCTGTGGCCTTGGAATGTGATCTTTGCTTTCATCCCATTCCTGTTTTCTCCCCAGTGTTGGGCTCAGCTCCTCTGGTTTCTATCATGGGATATGTTGGTGGAGGCATCCAGCTACTCTGCAAGTCCTCAGGCTGGTTTCACCAGCCCACAGTGAAGTGGAAAGACCCACAAGGACATGATTTGCCCTCAGACTCAAAGGTGAATGCAGACAGACGTGGCCTGTTTGATGTGGAGACTTCCCTTATAGTCCAGAAAAATGCTGGGAGCATATTGTGTTCTATCCAGTACCCTGACCAGAGCGGGGAAGTGGAATCCTGGGTATGGATAAGAGGTGAGTGGGGAGTTGGAAGTGTGGGGGATGGGTCATGTTCCTATAGCCCAGAGTGAGAACAGGAGCCTCGATTTCAGGGATGTTGTGTAGTATTGTCCTATTTTAATAATTAGTTTTGAAAGCCAAAGATCCGTGGGGTATAAAGGTAATATCATATAATTTGATTATGTGGGAACAATCATTTACAATAGCAGTGGAGTAGAATCAAATATTTCCTTCATCACATAATTATCTTCGTGGTGCAACCCTTCAAAATCAACACACACAAAATTTAAGAAAACTAACTTGAGGAACAAGGGGAAAAAATGTTTGCTCATTAAAAAAAAGCCATCTAAGTAAATACTAAAACATTACTCTGTGAAACAGAATATAACAAAAAGTGGATAATTTCAGGAAGGATTTAAAAATAATAGAATAATTAATATGAACCCAAATATGTCAGTAATCACAATCCATGTAAAAGGAGTAAATTTGCCAGTTAAAAGACAAAGAATATAAGACTGGAATTTAAAAAATCTCAACTGCTGCAATTCTTAGAGAAAATTATAATACAATGAGCTATTCACTGAAGCATTTTAAAAATAGAAAATGAGAGCTGGCCGTGTGGCTCAGTTAGCTAAGAGCTTGCTCAAGAGTGAGAGCTCTGAGCAACAGGGTTGCCAATTCGATTCCCACATGGGCCAGTGAGCTGCGCGTGAACTGAACTGCCAACAGGTGGCAGGATGGCACAGCTGATGAGAGCACATGCTCCTAATCACAAGGTTGCCTGTTCGAGATGGTGGGCTATGCCTGCCAGGTACTGAAGACTGAACTCAGCACCTTGAGCTGAGCTAGCGCCCGGGTGGCTAGGGGATACAGCGCATGCTCTTAACAACAAGGTTGCTGGTTCAACTACCACATGAGATGGTGGCTATGCCCACCTGCAGCTAATTGAACACAGCACCCTGAGCTGAGCAGTGCAGCTGGAATTAGAGCTGAGCTTGCTGCACCCTCCACACTAAGATTGAAGGACAACTTGGCTGTTCCCTTTCCCCAGTTCCCCAACACTGTTCCCCTCCCCCAATTTCCCAGTAAAAAATCTTAAATAAAAAAAAAGTTTAAAGAAAAAGAAAAAAAAGAAAAATCATAACAGACAAATGTTAACCAAAGGAATACCATTATAGGTATATTAGAGTCAAGAAAAAAGTCTTAGAAAAAAAAGCATTATTAGCATAGTTATTTCAGAACATAAAAAATTTATTCACTAGGAAACCATAAGATATATATATATATATATATGCACTTTATAGTATATCTCAACATATATAAAGCAAATATCAATAGAAATATAGGGATAAATTGAAATACTGTGAGTTTTAAAACTGATTAAATAAGTAGACATAATTAGTAAGATTGTAGAATATTTGATATACAAATTAACATTCCTGATCTACTATAATAGACATTCTTATAAGAGTTCACCCAAAAAAGTCATTATTTTGACACACACGTTGAATATTTACAAACTTTCACAGGTACATGCACATAAATTTGGAATCAACTTGTCTAGTTCTAAGAAAACTATTGAGATTTTCAGTCGAGTTATGTGGAATATATAGATCAATTGAGAAATAAATGGTATCTTTAAAATATTGCCTCTTGTTACCTGTAAGAAGTTACATATCTCTGCTTATTTTAATTGTTCTTAGTGTCTTTTAATGAAGTTTTATATATCTGATATAATGTTTTCAAAGTCCTATGAAGATGTATAAAATAGAAGTGACATTGCATGTAATAGCAGGTGAAGGAAAGTCCATTCAAAGAAATGATGCCAGCACAGTTGTTATCTGTTTAGAAGAAAGTGAAATTGAACTTCTACCTCATTTTATATGCAAACATAAAGTCCAGAGGAGCAAGAATTATGAAGAAGCACAACACTTTAAACATGTAGGAGAAATGATAGAAAACTATCTTTTCAATGCTGGGGTATGAGATGATCCCTTAAATGAGAATCAAACTGCTTTTACTGTTCAGTAGTCACTGAGGGGTCTGTGGAACTGTTTTTCAGAGGCGATTTTCCAGTCCATACCCTGGCGCATGCGATTTATTTTAATGGGAGCATTCCTCTCTGTCCTGTGTGTTGGTGTCATTGGCCTGACAGTTTACTTCTGCACATTGAAGGGTAAGTGAGGGAGGGAAGCAGGGGCCCGTGGCTTATTCATGCATCCAGCAGGGCTGGGATCAGGGGTGCTCCACACACCTCCTGGGTCTGTTATTTCAGCCCAGGCTCAGGGCCCCATTACCTGGGCCATAGAGACCACAGTCCTCGCCCCACTCCAGGATGGCCGGAAAGGGCTCCCTTAGGAAATGCCAGCCCCACCAAGCCCATCTTCCTCAGAGAGGGCACAGAATTAGGGGAAGAATTATTTTCACTACCTGTGGGGATGACATAAATCCCTAACATCATCAAGACTCCAGTAAAAACATTTTCAGTGTTCTTGAAAAGACTTCATAGCAGAAGAAATAGAAGTGAAGGCAAGATAAAATAATATTCAGTTTTGGTAAGAGATTTTACCCCAAGAAGTACTAGTTTTTCCTCCTTGGAGATGACACTGCCCCTTGAGAATGTGTGCCATGATCCCACCTTCACTCCAGGTTCTCTTGCACCCCACCTTCCCTTCTCCCTGATAACCTCCATCTCCACCTCCACAGGATGCCAGATGTCAGCCCCTGCCTTCAGCATGACCAATCTTGATCTCTTCCTTCACCCAAGATACAGATGTTCACTACAGGGGTGTGGGGATGGAGGTACAAAAAGAGAATTCTAGAAGAGCCCCCCTCATTCACCACAGCTCGTCCCTCTGAGCAATGAGCCAGGGCTGTCCACATTCATCTGTCCACCACTGAATATTCTATTTCTGTTTCAGGGAAAACGCAGGCAGAATTGGGTAAGTGTCTTGTCATGTTCTGAGTCTTCCCCACAGTTTTCCTGGGCTCCTCCTATTCCACGGTTTGAGCCACCTGGGTGCGCTGTTGGCTCCAGACTGGACGGGAAGCATGGTCAGGCCAATGAGGGCAGCTGGTTCAACACCCCCACACATTGACTAATGAACTGATCCTCAGACAGGTAGGGGGGTGCACATTGGGATGCTGAAACCCCGTAAAATTGTCTCACATTTTCTCTATTGGTACATTCTGTGGGGTGAGAAACCAAAGATTTCGTGAACTCTCTGAGGGTGTGGACCAGAATGAGAAAGAGCCTGTGGGGCGTCTCCCTCAACCTCTTGCCTGACTTGATACTTGGAGACAAGACTTCCAGGCTTGTATCAGCCCAGGATATTCTGCCTTTTGTGTCATGGAAACATCAGCAACTGAGTAAGAGTCTTGTAGAGCTTTCCTCTCACACTCTCCCCTTCTTCTGTGTTTTAGGTTTTCAGACTGGAGAAGGGAGCATAGAGTTGCAGGTGAGAGAAGCTATTCCCTCCACCTCCATTATCTCTCCTTTCAAGTCCCTAGTTTATGAATCTTGAGACCCTGAGGCCATGGGTCTCTGCAGAGACAAGCTTGTGAAGGGGACCCTGAAACAGTCTGCAGATGCTGGGGGAGATGTGTTTGTAGAGAACCCCATGGCCTTCAGTAGATCTCTGGTGGACCCGTGACACCCACAAAGGTTAACCACCCTTGGTGTTCTGTCTCCCTGCTTCCTGTTCTCCATGTGAGCACTGACCCTCCTGCTCTGCTTGTTTTCAGAACTGAGAGAGGCCTGGAAACACGCAGGTACGAATGACTGGAGGGGTGACAGTGGACAGAGCCACGGGTGGGCATGGGAGAGGGAGCTGACCATAGACAGATATGGGGAACAGGAACACTGAGACACACTTGACTGCAGATTATAAATCTGTGAGGCCCAGCTCCACCCCAGGGGGCAGCTTCCCCAGACTCATTTCTTGGCCCAGGACTAGGAGGGGAGAGGGCAGGGGGCTGGGTTAGCCCGGGTAGGGGTCAAAGGCTAAGCTCCAGGGAACTGAGGGCACTGGTGACTGGCCAAGGGGATGGACTGAGGGGAAGTTGGGCAGGACTCAGAATGGGAGCAAGCTGGTTACAAGGGACAATCAAGGTCTCACAAAGTGAAGCAGTGGACTGATGTGGAGGTACAGTGGTAGGGCTGGCGTGATATACAGGAGCTAGGACCTCACAGTTGGGCATCTCCAGGCATTGGTGAGGCCTGGGGCCCCAGTGGAGATGAAGAAGGGGCAGGGATCAGTGTCTGACGGAGCCTCTGGCTCTAGGACCTGACCTGATCCCACCCTGAGACACTCTGCAGGGGGAGGGGGTGGCATCTACATCCAGCCCAGGTACCTCCTCAAGTAACTCATGCTCTCTCTCCCTCACCATGCCCCAGTGGAGGTGACCCTGGACCCAGAGACAGCTCACCCCCAGCTCTACATTTCTGATCTGATAGCTGTGCGCTATAGGAACATTCCACAGGTGGTGACCGACTCGGACAAGAGATTTGCATGGAAGTGTGTGGTGGCTTCTCAGGGATTCCAGGCAGGAAAACATTACTGGGAAGTGGACGTGGGACACAATGAAATGTGGGGTGTGGGAGTGTGCTGGGACGATGTGAACAGGAAAGTGGTACCTGTGACTTTGTCTCCCAACTATGGGTACTGGGTGCTCAGACTGACAAGAGAACAACAGTATCTCACATTAACCCCCTGTAGAATCAACCTTTCTCTGAAAACACCTCCTACACGAGTTAGGGTCCTTCTAGACTATGAGGGTGGAGCCATCTCCTTCTTCAGTGTAAATGATCAGTCCCACATTTACACCCTGACACGTCAGTTTGAAGGGTTATTGAGACCCTACATCCAACATCATGTGAGTGATGAGGAAAACGTGACCTCCATATTGATCTGCCCAGTGTCCCAGGAATCAGAAAAGAAGAACTTCTGACACACACAACCTTGAGCCCGATCCACAGATGACAACGCCCTTCCTGTCAGCATGATGTCCAGAAGGAATCACACCTCACACTTTCTCTCAGGACACTGAGCTTCCTCTCAGGTTCCAGAGCTCTGCAGTAGATAGCAACATGGCTTCCAGATGAGGCAGGCTGGCCCATTCATGTGGGGTCAGGGGTCATGGCTGCCCTGAGGCAGGGAGGGAAGGAGGCTGATGGTGCATTTGGTTTGTGCAAATTCTGCAGCCAAAGGACCTTTGACAAGTAACAAACTCTCAGGCTCCTCACCTGTAAAACAGGGACAAGAATTCCCACCTCAGGGTTGAGTGAAGACCAGAGACAGTGAATGTCAAACATTGTCAGTGGCCTGGTATCAGTGGACGATGTGTTTTGTATATTAAACTTTTCCAAAATTGATCTCTGTTTATTTATTCCATATTAAATCATTTTTCTCTATTCCAAATCACCTGTGGAACAGTTCTTCACGGTTCTGTGCCAAGCCCAAAGAATTGATGAGGAAGGACAATTTCTCAATTCATTCTATAAAGCCAACATGACCGCGATACCTAAAGCAGACAAACATATTAGAAAAACATAAAAGAAAAGTACCAATTCTTATCCTTCAAGAATATAGTTGCAAAAATTTAAATAAAAATTTAGCAAATTGAATTCAACAACATTTACAAGTATAATACATTACTGCCAAATGTGTCTATCTCAGTAGTGAAGGAATGTTTTAATATTCAAGCAGTGTAATTCACCACATTAACAAACTAAGAAAGAAAACCATATGATTATCTCAACAGATGCAGCAAAAGAACACTTGACATATTCAACATCAGTCAGTAATAAATCTTTCAGCAAATAATATATACAGATGGCTAGTGAACCCACACAACCTTAGGCAGTAAGAAAATGCAAATTAAAACCACAAGGAGACACTATTACCACATATTAGAGTAAAATTAAAAAGACTGATCATACCAAGTGTTTATGAAGCTGTGGAGGGACTGAAAGTCTCATACACAGCTGGTGGGGAGATAAAATGGTACAATAACTTCGGAAGACAATTTGGCAGTTTCTTTAAAATGCAAACAGTCCCTTACCATGTGATCCTACAATTTCATGCTAAGTATTTTGTCCAATAGAAAAGAAAATACATCCCTCTACAAATTTGCACATGAATGTTCACAGCGCCTTTATTTAAGTAATGAAAAGTTGTAAATGATCCAGATGTTATCAACAGAAGACTAGATAAACAAATTGTGGTATATCCATGGAATGAAATACTACTCAGCAATTAAAAAGAATGAAATATTGATACATGCACAACAATGAATCCAAAATAATTATTCCAAGTGAAAGGAGCCAGACCAGAAAACAAATAAACAAACAAACCATAAAAAAGAATGCATACTGTGTGACATTACTTATATAAAAGTCTAGAAAGTGCAAATGGATCCCCACTGACAGAAAGCACATCAATGGTCGCTAGGAGGGGACAGTAAGATAGAAGGGATTACAGTCAAGAACAAGAATGCTCTTACAGTGCAGAAATGTTCACTGTCTTCCTAATGGTGATGGTTTAGTGGGAAACACATAAATCAAAACATATCAATTAAATAATTTACATATGTGCAGTTTATTTTATGTCCATTATACCTCAACAAAGCTGTTTTTAAAAATAAATATGTTGGGACGGCCGACAGGCTCAGTTGGTTAAGTGTTGGCTTGGGAGCGCGAGCTCTGAGCAGCAGGGCCACCAGTTTGGATCCCACATGGGCCAGTGATGCTGCACCCTCTATAGCTAAGATGGTGAACAATAGCTCTACCTGGAGATGGGCTGCCATGAGTCACCAGCGACAGTGTAGGCTGCAGCCCCTCCTGCATTGGGCTGCCCTGAGCTACTGTGAGTGGCTGGCAGCCAGCAAGAGCCGCCAAGAGCCACCATGAGTGGTGGTCTGATTGCCAGCGACCAGTCTGCCTCAGCAGGGAAGAGCGCAATGATCATAATACCAACATGGGCTAGTGAAGCGACATCCTCCACAACTAGACTGAAGCACAAAAGGACAGCAACTTGTCTATGCCCCTTCCCCAATTCCCCAATGCTGTTCCCCTCCCCCAACTCCCCAATAAAATCTTAAAAAAAAAGAAGTTAAAAATAAATAAATAAATAAATAAGTCAACAACAACAGCAAAAGGGAAACGTGGTTGGTCTTAGGGATAGAATTTCCTGAACAACATCCTTTAGGTACCATCTTTACTCTTTAAAAAAAATAGTGTAAAGTGAGTGTAAAGTACAGTTTCCATATAGCCCTCTCAACCCACAGCACACAAACATGATGCCCAGCGTCCTATAGCATGAAGAGTGGCACGTTTGTTACAACTGATGAACCTGCATTGACACATCATTGTCACCCCAAATCCATTACATTACAGTTTACATTACAGTTCGCTCTTGGTGGTGTACGTGCTATGGGTTTGAACACATGAATAATGACATGATCCATGATTTTAGTGCCATAGAGAATATATACTTTCAATGCCTTAAAAGTACCTTGGACTCCGATAATTAGTCCCTCTCGCATTCCCTCTCCCTCCCAAACCCTGACAACCACAAAACATTTTGCTCTCTCCATGGTTTTACCTTTCTGATAAATTCATATAAAGGAATCATACAGTTATGTAGGCTTCTCACACTGGCTTCACTCACTCACCAGTATTCACTTAAGGTTCCTCTATATCTTTTTGTGACTTGATAGCTCATTTCCTTTAATACTGAATAGTATTCCTTTCTATGGATATACCTGAGTTTGTTGATCCATTCATCTCTTGAAGGACATCTTGGCTGCTTCCAAGTTTTGGCAATCATGAAATAAAGGTGCTATAAGCATTTGTGTGCAGGTTTTCGTGTGAACATAAGGTTTCAGTTCGTTTGGGCAAATACTGTAGAGTGCAATTGCTGGGTTGTATGGCAAGAGTATGCTTCGTTTTGTAAGAAACTGCTAAACTGTCTTCCAAAATGGCAGTACCGGGGAAGTTTCTGTTACTCCACATCTTTGCCACCATTTGTTGTTGTATATGTTTTGAATTTTAGGCTAAATGTGTTTTTTTTTCTTTTTCTTTTCTTTTTTATTTTTAAGAAAGGCAAAAACTGTAGTAAAATTTTTTTTCTGTTTCTAATTATAGTTTATTGACGTGACAATTATTAGCAAAGTGGTATCTTCAATCAAATTTTATTCTAAATATTTCCTAACTTTTATTGTGATTCCTTTTTGCACCCATGGGTTATTTAACATTGTGTTGTTAACAATTTCTAAATATATAGGGTTTCCTAGATATAAAATTGTTTTTCTTTTTCTATTAACTTTATTATGGTTAGAAAATGTGTTTCTTTTGTTTTGTTTGTTTTTTGTCATGGCGTTTCTGGAAACTTGCATTCTGGTCAGTAAGTGATCACTTTGTGAATTTCCATGTTCTGAAAAGGTTGCATAACCTGTAATTGTGGGTGCCCTGGCTTAGGGTCTAAATGAATGACTGAGTGAGTGGTTCTTCACCTTTTCCTCAGGCCTGACATATTCTGGTCATTTCCCAATACCTTGGATCCTTGGAGATTAAGGTCCTGTCTTGTTCTGGCAAGTACTTCCCATCTTGCTTCATGACCTGAGTCCTAGTCTTGGACTCAAGAAAGTGAGTGAGGGCAGGATTACCTCAGGCTGTGCTAAGAAACATCCACCTCACCTGCTCTTGGTTACTCCTTGTGGAATGGCACCTATTTTCTGTATAACCTGCTACCCTCTGCTGGGACAACCTCCTTTTTAAAAACTAGAATCCCCCCGCCCATACAGTTCTACGTGCCAGATTGGACCTTAAGATATTTGTGCCCCTGATGTTCCTGAGTCACCCACCCAGGGCACAGTCTTGACAGAGGACAAACCCCTCCCAGTGTGCCCCATGCCCTTCTCTATCATTGCTTCCTTGTTCTGAGAGGGATGTTTATGGCCGGCCAATAAATGCAGTGATTCAGAGTGCAGAGTCCCCTCTCCCCTAACACACAGGGCCATGTCTATGCCAGGTGACTCTGAGAAGAATAGTGCAGCTTGCCATCAGTGCAAGCTCGTCCTCTTCATGGCTCCTCAGCTCAGAAGCTGGGCTGACCCCTCTTCTCTCTAATTAGACCATTCTCCTGTCCCTGCTGTCGTCTGTTTCCATAGCGTGAGATCGGCCTGTAGACGCACTCATGGCCCTTGTGGTCCTCATGCTCACCTTGCTTCTCAGCCTCTTCGGACTGGGGTCAGGTAAGCCTCCACACTGGACTCTCTCTGCCTCTCTTCTTGTTGGTTAACATTTGAGCTCTTTAGTCATAAGATTGCAGCATATTGGGGTGGGGCATCTTTCTTGCTTGCATTTCCCCGACTCCTGCCCCAGGCTGACATCTATCAACGCCAGGGGCTGTGGGAAGCAGGGTTCAGTGTGAAGGTCTCGGGCACTGTGCAAACTGTGAAAACATCCCAGAACTCATGGCAAAGAGTGCTGAAGAGGAGTCCCAGTAGTGGGGAGGGGACACAGCAAGAATGTGAAGATGAATAAATTAAATGTTTGTTCCAGGTGGGCTGTCGCGTTTAGGCAGGGAGTCTCTACTAGGGCACCAGCTTTCTGACATGGGTGCTGGGGTAGAAGGAGACACTGATTAGGATGTTTTGGGAAAAGATAACGGTCCAGCTGTGGACATGCTGAGTGGGAAACACCTGTGGTGTGTGACCTGAGGGTGGGGGAAGGTGTCCTGATCTGTGAGTGAGGACTAAGTTGTAACCTGCCATAGTCTGAGAGAAAGTCCACTTCTCTTTCTTCTTGTTATGACTGACACAAAGGCTGGTGTGTAGGATGTTGAGTAACTGAAGAAGGTACAGAGAGGAAGCTGGAGGCTGGAGTGGACCCCTGTCTCTGGACAGGCAGTGTCCAGTCTACAAGGTCCAGTCTGCACAAGTTCATTCTGTCACTCATCTGCTATGTCTGTTGTGTAGATCATGGAAAAGAAGAGAGAAATGAGGGCAATCAAATCATGCTCCATGTTTCCACAGCAAAACCCATCTGTCTTCTTCACAGGACAGCCTCTCACTGAAGTTCATTCTCATCCATTTTCTAATGAGTTTCTTTGACTGCTCTGTTTTCTGGAGAAGCAGCAGGGTGTCATGGAAATGACCTCGGGGGCAGAAAGACTTTATTTTAAACCCTCATTTCCTCTGCTTATGAACTATGTGGCCCATAACTCCACCAGGTGTCAGTGTGCTCCCTGTGACAAGAGATGGCATCACACCCTGATCAGGCTGCTGTGAAGATCACATGAGTTGCTGCATGTAGAGCAGAGCACAGCGTTCCATTAGCACAGAGCCTGTGTTCATGGACACACAGTTTTTCCTCACTGGTCCCCGGGGGAAGGATGAGTAAAGGGTTCAAGAGCTGCCGTAGGCAAGGAAAATGACAGCAGCAATAAGGGCTGGTCAAAGGAACAGAGAAAGTCCAAGAAAAGGTTCCCTCAGCTCGAGAGCCCCCACAGCCCTAAAGGCACAGCAGCAGCAGCCCAGCTGACCTAGGCTGAGCCCCCAAAGCAGACCAGGAACAAGGGTCTGAGTGCAGGTGGGCTAATAAAGAGGTAATTGTGAGAACAAAAGGAAGATTATTGAGAGCTTGAAGCTGCAGTGGAGGAAAACCAAAACAGGGTATACCAGTGAGCTGGTTACTGACATGGAAACACCTTCTGAGAGGCCACAAGATGACAACCCAGAATCATTCTGACATCCACTGCCTCTTGCCCCCACTGGGGACTTGCACCCCCACTACTGTTAAATTCTCAGCACTTCTGGGCTGCCCTGCACCAGACTGAGCAGGTTCCAAAGAGCAGAGAAAGCCCTCAGCAGGGAACAGAGGCCAGGCTCCTGGGTGGGGCTGTCAGAGGGCAGGGATGTGCCCAGCCCACTGCAGGAGGACTCACAGTGGGGTGAGGGGCAGCATTCAGCGTCTGCTAGGCCAAGTCAGTGGCTGAACAGAGATCCTGCTGCAAAGTCACATTTTATATCATAAGATACTCCTTCAAAATGCATGAGTGAAATACCTTTCAGAAAGATGTATAAAACATATTTAAAGTAAGAAATAGTGGGTGCTAAAATAGAAATATTCACTTAATTGAAAATAAGTGACCTCTTTGTGAATTTGACAGAGCTTGAAAAGGAAATTTACACTGTGACCACTTCTCTCTGAAGAGTATTCACACCCCACCACACCCATCTATGCACATATCAAATATGCATACATGTGAATTAATCAAGGGACGTTCCAGATCAGAGAGGTGTGTTCGAGAAGATAAAGGGAGTGAGTGTTCATAGTTTGTGATTTCTGTGAAGAAATCTAATCATTACAAATGATTAGTGTGATTTACAGCAGGAAAATTACTGACATGATCTTAGCAAATGAGCAAGTGGGCAAAGAAAAAGGTGCTCATCATTCATAATGGAACTGCTTTCTGTGGAGCCCATGCTCCGAGCCGAACACCGTGCTTGGCCTGGGGGGTGCTGTACTGAGCAAACAGACAGGCCATGTCCCCACAGAGCTGATAGTCATGCAGCGGAGACTCACAGAAAACAAATACACATTCCAAACAAGATGATGAAGAAAGTTTCAAAATGAAAATGAGGGCAAAGCTGCACCCAGAAAATAGTAACAAATGAAAGGTAACACCTGTTGGTAAAGCTGAATGAAGCTTCGTTCAGGCCAACATTACAAAGTGGAGAAAAGAAATTGTTACACAAGTAAGAAAGCACACTCCATGGAAATGAGAGTCAGCATGAATTTGCTGGAGAGCAAATCTATGATGTTAAAATTGCAAACTCTCCTTGTCACAGTGTTATATGTCTCTCAGAATTTTGCAAAACAAATAGATAAATAAAATAAGGAAGTTCAAGTAAAGGTTTAACCTATGGACAAAGACATTCCTTTCTTGTACCCATGAAACATTTACAAGATGTAAGCATCTGCTTGAAAGATACAATTGCCCCAAACTGGAGACTTTATTGTTAATACTCCCCTTCTGGACAATGGGTCATATTTAGTTTTTAGCAAAGAAAATGAAAAGGGGCTGTTGTGAGTGTGCGGTGATGCAGATGCGCAGGGAGGAGAGAATGTGGATATGGATTCTCCTCCCATCAGAGGTCAGCATTTGGAAAGTGCTCTCATGCCCCTCATTAACTTACGTAGTCTCTCTGAGACATTGTGTTCTTATATTGAAAATGGGAATATCAATAACATATCCCTGTTGGGATGTTTGTGAAGACAGAATGAAGTAGCAGATGTGGAAGTGCTCTGTCAAGTGTAAGGGATGTATAGATGAAGGTCACTGGGTTTGGAAAGGAGATAACGATGGATGTCACACCCCTGGGAATACTCTGGCCATGACTAGGACACACTGACAGGGTTTTCGCTCAGTTATCTCTTGTGCTTCCTTCCACAGGCCAGTGGCAGGTGATGGGACCAGACAAGCCCGTCCAGGTTGTGGTTGGGGAAGATGCAGTGTTCTCATGCTTCCTCTCTCCTAAGACAAGCGCGGAGGCCATGGAAGTGCGATTCTTCAGAGATGAGTTCCGGGCTGTGGTGCACCTGTACAGAGAGGGGAAAGACGAGCACCATATGCAGATGCCGGCCTATCAAGGGAGGACTGAATTACTGAAGGACTCCATAGCGGAGGGGCGTGTCTCCCTGAGACTGAAGAAGGTCACTCTCTCCGACACTGGTCTCTATGGATGCTGGTTCAGATCCCAGAATAATGACCAGGAGGCCATCTGGGAGCTACAGGTGTCAGGTGAGTTGCTATTTCAGAGAAATCATAACTTTGTTGTCTGGTAGAACCACCTGGGACTTTCTGAACTATTTGTTGAATGACCAGTTTTTAAAAAAATCTTAGGTCATTTAGTCAGGACATTAGATCTTACTCTGTTTATTTATTCTGCCTCATGTGTATAGTTCTGTGTCATTTTACTTGTAGATTTATGTAACCACCATGACATCAACATCAGGGTGTAGACCTAGCCTGTGACCACTGAGATCTCCCTCTTTATAGTCACATTGACCCCGTTACTCCCCTCCTTGCCCCCCAAGCCCTGGCAACCATTCATCTCTTCTCCATTTCCATAATTTCATCTTGTCTAGAATGCTACATAAACACAATTATACAATACATGACCTTTGAGTTTGGCTTTTCCACTGAACACCATGCCCTTGAGTTGCCTGTATCAATAGCTTGTTCTCTTTTATTGCTGAGCAGTATTCCATGGTATGGATATACCAAGATTGTTTAGCCATTCACTGAAAGACTTTGGGGTTGTTTCCAGGTTTGGCTTTTACAGATAAGGCTTTAGTGAACATTTGTGTACAGGTCTTTGTATACGCATAAGTTTTTATTTATCTAGGGTAAGTGCTCAGGAGTGCAATTGCTGAATTGTATAGTAAGAGTATGTTGATGGTATTTTTGTTTAGTCTTTATTTGATTGAGCAGGTTTTTTTGAGGAAAAATTGACTTATTTATTCCTCCCCGATAAATCTCTGACAACCAGTGATCTTTTTACTGTCTCCATAGTGTTTCCTTTTCCACAATTGTTATATACTTGTAATCATACAGTATATAGCCTTTTAAGATTGACTTCTTTTACTCTCCAATACACAATTTTTAAAATTAATTTTATTAAATTTATTGGGGTGACAATTGTTTAATGAGATTATATAAGTTTCACGTGTATAATTCTAAAATACATCATTTGTACATTGCATTGTGTATTCAACTCCCAAAGTTAAGTCTCCTTTTGTCATCATACATTTGATCCCTTTTAGTCTCTTCTACTTTCCCCTACCTCCCTTCCCTTCTGGTAACCACCATACTATTATCTGTATTTATGAGGTTTTTTCGGTGGGGCTGTTTGTTTGTTTATTTTGTTTGTCCATTTATTGCTTTCTGTTTTATATTCCACATAAGAGTGAACTCATATGGTCCTTGTCTCTTCCATTTGACTTGACTTACTTCATGTAGAATGATGTTCTCAAGATACATCCATGTTGTTGCAAGTGGCAGTATTTCATTTTTTCAAACTATATATCAGATAAGGGAGTAATATCTAGAATATACAAAGAAATCATACAACTCAACATCAAAAACAAACAACCCAATTTTAAAAATGGGCAGAAGACCTGAACAGACACTTCTCTCAAGAAGACTTACAAATGGCCAGGTAGCATTCTATTATATACAATATATGCACTACATCTTTATCCAGTCATCTATCGAAGCACACTTAAGTTTTTCATGCCTTGGCCACATGAATAATGCTGCAATGAACATTGATATATATATTTCTTTATGAACAAATGTTTCAAAAAAATTTTTTTGGTAGATACCCAGAAAAGGGATTACTGGGTCATATTGCAGCTCTATTCTTAATTTTTTGAGGAACCTCCATACTGTTTTCAATAGTGGCTGTACAAATTGTCATTCCCACCAACAGTGTATGAGGGTTCCTTTTTCTCCACATCCTCTCCAACACTTGTTATTATTTGTCTTGTTGATGATAGCCATTCTAACAGATTTGAGGTGGTATATTATTGTGGTTTTGATTGGCATTTCCCTTATAGCTCGTGAAATTGAGCATATTTTCATATATCTGCAGGCCATCTGTTTTCTTGAGAGAAGTGTTTGTTCAGGTCTTCTGTCCATTTTTAAAAATTGGATTGTTTGTTTTTTGGTGTTGAGTTGTATGAGTTCTTTATATATTCTAAATATGACTCCTTTATCTGATATATAGTTTCAAAATATTTTCTCACATTCTATAGGTTGTCTTTTCATTTTGTTAATGGTTTCCTTTGCCATGCAAAAGTTTTTAGTTTGATGTAGTCCCACTTGTTGATTTTTGCTTTGGTTGCTTGGACTTTTGGGGTTGATCCAAAAATCATTGCCAAGGAGCTTCTTCCCTGTGTTGTTTTTTTAAAGATTTTATTGGGGAGGACAACAGCATTGGGGAATTAAAGAAGGGGAACAGACAAGAAGCTGTCCTTTTGTTCTTCAGTCTAGTTGTGGAGGATGTCGCTTTACTGGCCCATGTTGGTGTTATCACTGAGCTCTTCCTGGGTGAAGCAGTCACTCTCTGGCCATTGGATGGCCACTCACAGCAGTTCATGGCTGCTCAAGCTGGCTGCCAGCCAGTCATGGTAGCTTATGGCAGCCCACTGCAGCAGGGCTGCGGCCTACGCCATCGCCAGCGACTCACGGCAGTCCATCTCCAGGTTGAGCTGTTGTTCACCATCTTAGCTATAGAGGGCGCAGCATCACTGGCCTTTATGTGGGATCTGAACCAAGGCCCCGCTGCTCAGAGCTGGCGCCCCAAGCCAATTCCTAACCAACATGCCACTCGGCTGGCCCCCCCCAAAGCTAATTTTAGGAGTTTTATTCCTTCAGGTGTTACATTTAAGTCTTTAATCCATTTTGAGTTAATTTTTGTGAGTGATAAGATAGGGTCCAATTTCATTTCTGTGCCTGTGGTTATACAGTTCTCCCAACATCATTTGTTGAAAAGATTATCCTTTACCAATTGAGTGTTCTTAGCTCCCTTGTCAAATATTAGTTGATTGTATATGTGGGGGGTTATTTCTGGGCTCTTGATTCTGTTCCATTGTTCTATGTGTCTATTTTTATGCTAGTACCACACTATTTAAATTCCTATAGCTTGGTGGTATAGTTTGAAATCAGAAGGTATGTTTCCTTTGGCTTTGTTCTTACTCAGGATTGCTTTGGCTATTCAGAGTCTTTTTGGTTTCACATAAATATCTATAGATCGCTTTGGGTAATATGGAAATTTTAACAATATTAATTTTTCTGTTCATAAATACAGAATATTTTTCCATTTGTTTGTCTTCAATTTCTTTCATCAAAATCTTGTAGTTTTCATTGAGTAGATCTTTCACTTCCTTGGTTAAATGTATTCCTAGGTACAGTAAAACCTTAGATTGCAAGTAACGAGGTTTGCAAGTGTTCCACAAGAGGAGCAAACATTTCGAATGCATTTTAACGTGGTAAATGAGTGATGTCTTGCAATATGAGTAGCTTGTTTCCGGAAATAATCATGCTCGCAAACCAAGGTATTATTGTACATGTATTTTATTGTTTTTGATGCTATTATCAATGGGATATTTTTCTTTATCTCTTTTTCAGATATTTAGTTGTTAGTGTATAGAAATTCAACTGACTTCTCTATGTTGAATTTATGTCATGAAAATTTACTGCATTTGTTGTGAAAAAATTAATAAACAGAAACCTCATTTAAAATGGAGTAAGAAGGCTAGAAGACAGAACTTTCAGGCATGTGTCACTCAACGCACATGACTGACCCCAAAGTAAGAGATGTACCTTGCACCTCTGACAAGAAGTGTTGCTACTTTACTACTTCAGCAGGAGTAAGAAAAGATTCCTCCTTGCCCAGTAACAGCTGGGCCAATGGGAGACTGCCATAACTAAGCCAATGAAAAGTCACTATACTTTGAACTTTCAATTTCTTTCAATGGACTCTTCACTTACAACTGCTCTTCCCAAGCCCATAAAAGAACATTCCTCCCCTTTGCTTCTCTGGACTTGTGTTTGGTTTGCCATTACTTATGTCCTGAATTGCAATTCTTTGTTGTTCACAAATAAACCCACTTTGCTGGAGAAACACCTGGCTGTTTTTTGAAGGGCATTCATTGATTAGTTCCAACAGGGTTTTTTGGAGGGAAGGAAGGGTTGTTTACGATTTTCTATATATAAGATCATATTATCTGCACATAGCAATTTTACCTCTTCTGTTTCCATTTGGATATATTTTACTTCTTTGTCAATGCATTAAGACCTCACTTAACGTTATCAATAGATTCTTGGAAACTATGACTTTAAATGAAACAACATATAACAAAACCAATTTTACAATAGTCTAATTGATATAAACAAGAGTTAAGTTCCTATGGCATATTCCTGGTCACAAAAACATCATTGAACTTCTAAGTTTGAACATAAATACCCAAAACACTTCTAATATTAGGCTTTGAAATAAATGTGAGCTCTACATGCATTTAAGAAAGATTAACATAAACAAATAAGAGAATTATTTTCAAACCTGCTTAATCCAGTTCAGGGTCATGGGTGGCTGGAGCCTCTTCCAGCAGCTCAGAGTGTGAGGTGGGAACTAACTCTGGACAGGACGCCATTCCATCACTGGGCACATTCACACACACACACACCCACACTCACTCGTACTGGGACAATTTAGACATGCCAATTACCCTAATGTGCACATCTTTGGGATGTGGGAGGAAACTGGAATACCCAGAGGAAACCCACACAGATATGGGAAAAATGTGCAAACTCCACACAGACAGTGGCTCCATCCAGGAATCGTTTTTTTTCATCAACATTATAACAAAATGATGGTGCATGAAATGGAATTATTTAAGGACCTGCTGTACTATATTGAATAAGGTGGTGAGAGAGGGTGCCCTTGTCTTATTTCTGATCTTAGAGAAAAAACTTGATTATTTACCACTGAGTATAATGTTAGCTGTGTGTTTGTCATATATGGCTTTTATTATGTTGAGGTATGTTCCTTCTACACCCAATTTGTTGAGGGTTTTTATTATAAAAGGTTGTTGTATTTTGTTAAATGCTTTTCTGCATTTATTGAGATACTAATATGATTTTTATCTTCCATTCTATTAATAATTGTATCACACTTATTATTTTATGGTGGACCACTCTTGCATCCCAGGGATAAATCCCACTTGGACATGATG